ATATATTTTTATTTCAAACGGTCCTTTTTCCATCTTTTTTCACTTGAAAAGCTCAGGGTTTCTTGCAAATATGTTTACTGGTACAACAAAAACATATTTTTTAAATATAAATTTGATTCCATCCTTATGACTTTTATATATGTGTCCCTAACCATTGATTTACTTGTGATCATCGTTAAAATTGGGGCGGGGTTAGCAAAAAAAAAAACAAAAAAAAAACAAACCTCCCTTCCTCATTAGTTTTTATTCTTTGATAGGGTGATAAACTAATAATTTTTTTTATGGGGCCTAATATTATTAGCATTGGCTAATAGGGATTGTTTTTTCCATAACATCATGTGATTGATGATGTAATAACATTGGGTTATCATGGAAAATTCCATCATTTCATAAATATTATTTTCCTTCTAAATAGGTGTGATTGCATAAAATATAATAATTTTCGAATAAAAAAAAAAAAGAAATTATTATGAGATTATTATGCTGTCTTTAATATTAATTCTTTGGTACCAGACTGTAAACCTACTAACTACACATATAAAAAAAAAATTTTAATAATTCAAAAAACCTATCATATCCAAGTCCAAGCATCACAAAAAATCCAGGGAGAATTGCCAATAATATAATTTTTCCTTCCTTAAAATTGTATTGATAATTAATTAAATATTACATATTAGGACGATATTTATTTAAAAAATACTTTTGCCTACATCCTACCATCCTTTTTTCGGTTGTCTTCATTTTTTTACTTTTACTTTTACTTTCAAAGGGTTAACACCCAGAAAAACTGCAGAAATGAAAGAGTGTCTGTGTAGGTATCCACTAGAGGTTGACATAAGCCTGTCTATGTGCCTTAATGTGGCAGTCTTTATGAAGGAGAAAAAAAGAAAACAGAGATGCATTCTTAATTTCTACAAAAAAAAAAAAAAAAAAAAAAAAAAACACCTTGATCAGAAACATATGTTTGATGTTTTTTTTTGTTGTCTTATTTTGGATAAAGGCCATTCGGTAATAAGCTTCTAATGATTAATTCCGATTTAAAAGGTTTCCTAGAATCAAGGGAAGCTGTGAGCTAGGGAAAAAAAAGGATTCACAGGTTCAAAAGCTATTAATGTTACAACAACACTCGCATTCCATAATTGCATCCAACTACGTGTGATAAATAATGTTCATATGGCAAAGAACTACGTAGAAAGTCCGAAGCGCCAAGGTTCAGGTGACAAGCGTTGCGTGAAGATACATAATTTTCTTTCTTTCTTGATTTAAACAAACTGATTCCTATTCTGGTTATATTGAATTGTTAATTATTAGTGTTTTTTTTTTTAATTAAATTTATTTTTATTTTCATTTTTTTAAATTTTAAATAAAATAAATACAGGAAGTGGTAGCCCAATAAAATTATGTGGGATATAACAAGAAATATATTTGTCCACATTATCAAGTTTTATGTGTTTACCCATAATGAGTGTGATAAGATCATCATGCCCTGCCCACATATGGGCAAATGATAGATATTTGTCCCATATAGCTTGCAATGTGAACAGGCTTTTTTAAAAAGTTAAATAAACAAAAGCCTTCAAATATGATTGATTTTATAAGATGGTATTTATATTTAAAGCTACTTACATTACTATATATTGAAGGATTTTGTATTATTTAGGTTTAGAAGAAAGAGATAGGTAATGTCTTTAAACTTAGATCTGATTAACTTCAAATCGTGGTATTATTAATTGTGTCAATAATACACAAAGCTATTAAATTCCTAATGACCTTGAGTGTGTATATACATGGAACAATAGCAAATAAACCCAGTATTTTAGCAGATGAAAAACCAAATCAATAAATATGCAATGACCTCAAATAATACACAATTACGTTGCAGTATTCAACAGTTTTAACTATAATGATCTGATAAGGAAGTGATAGAATATCTTAATCATGTACCACAAAACAAATAAACGTGCGGGCCTCCCCGGGAGATATGTCAGCACCAGCATAAAATGTTCTTAGTAATCAAAAACAATTTAGCTCAATTTAAGAACATATAAACTGATGAAATCTGCAAGTCTACAAAGAACAAGGGTGGAATAAACCCACTCTACAAACCCCTATTTAATAGTATCCTTTTGTTCAGCATTATCCTGAAATCTACAATCAAGTTGAAAACTGTGTAAACATGCATTCACCTTCTGTTATACATGAAAAGCTCCAGGCTGCTTGAGTCCTACAATGAATACTCTTCCCTAACGAAATACGGATGTTTATAAGTTGTTCCTCTTCTGTCTTCACTATGCAGTCAGTCAGCTCAGATAAAAGCTCTCCGCTAAGCTCTCAAAAAAGATTACAACAATTACATAACCTCAATCAATATTATTCAGCTCTACACAAGCATAACCAAGTCTAGCAGATTGATTGTACACTTGATGTTTACACGCAGAATCTAACCAGCAGCTAATGAGCGCTGGGTGATGATAAAGCCAGCAAGCTAGGTGGCTGCCGGAACTACTTTCAGAGTGTCACTGACCTTTGGCTCGGTTATTGATATAGAGAGCTAATGGCTTCATAACATTCCAACACAAAAGTTACAATATTTGATGTGTCAAATCAAAATATGTACTCAAACAACCAAGATTTTGTTAAAATTACATTAAATTTTCGCTGATCTTTTTTAATATTATGTTGCCAGGGTTGTGATCATACTGTTTTTATTACCGGTAATCAAGTTTAATGGAAGGCTGCACAGACTATTAAATTATGTTTTTTTTTTCCTTCTTTTTTTGGTATAGTACTAAGCAGTGAATATAGATACATCTTTAATTCATAATAAAAAATAACTACTTTAGTAGTGTAGTATTTTTAATGTAGTATTAACACTTTTATACTTTTAAGCCTAAATATTTAATTGATTTGTTAATTTTCAGGTGAATAGCTATTCCTATTGTAATTCACTATAACAGACACATTTATATTTCTGTATTTATTATTAAATGTACTTTTAATATTAAAATTTTAAATACAATTTGCCTATTTACTATAAAAATATATTTTTGAAGATAAATTTTTAATTATGCTATTATAAGATATTGCATTCCACTTAAAATGTAGTGTTTTTCTATTTATAAAACCACGAAAGTCCTAGAATCTAGTCCTTGCCTTAATTTCTCCACTCATAAAACTGTAGTGCTACTGCACCTTAGATTGTTTGAGAAAGTGCCAAGTGCTTATAACAAAACAACTCAACTTAAGTTTGATATTTATGAATGATTTGTGGCTAGCAGAGGATACTGTATTACACTAACCTTTGTTAGACATCAATTCACAATGATTATTACCATTAATCATTAAGTGTCTTATAATACACTTGTTTAAGACAATGTTGAAAAGACTTCACTGTAACATTTACAGTATTTGACAATAACAATAGAACAGGAATATACAGGAAATACAGCAGCATCAAGTGATGGTTTATGATTGTTTTTATTATTATATTATCAAGAAAATGTTGGTATGATTTCATAGACAAATCGAAGTCTATTCCATAAGTGGTACTACTTGTTTATTATTTGAATTCTTACAACTTTGAACCTTTACCTTTATAATTATTACAACATTTTATGGTGTAATGTATGTGTTTTTTGTTTAAAAAGTATGTGATTTTGTCAATGAGAATATTTTAACCTGTGAACAAAATACCTGAATTTTTTAAACTGTATATTTTTACTGTGTTTAACAATAAAGATTGTCAGGTATTAAATGTACTGACTAAATAGTTTCTTTAAAATTAGACAAGGAAAATTCCACAAAAGTGTAGTAAAGATATTCAAAATATGACAAGTTAGCAAAATATTTGTTATCCAGCTATTGCTGGAAGTGAAGATACATATTACTACAGATAATATTTCAAATAGTTTGCCTGTGTACCAAGAAATCATCTAACAGAGCACTCAAGCTGACGAGTGCCTTGTAATCAGGCAGGTCATGTCACAACTCATATTTACCTGATCAAGTTGACATTTATGAAGGCCTAGCCACATCTGCCTAGCTTGTCTCAAATTATCCTCAGGAGTGATGTTTAGCTAGGAGGCATCTGACTGCTGCAATTCCAATATAAATCAGATGCTAGGGACCATCTTAAAAGTTTCCTAATGACACTAATTGCATGGATATTTCCTTTACACAATAAGTATACTGCTTTGGCTGTCCTTGGCTGTGTTTGAGAGGCCATCAAAACAACCATATGATGTATTGTATAGCATTATTCAAGTTAAAAACATGTCACCACTATTAAATCCATGTAATTTAGCACAAAGATATCGTGAGCATACGTAATGCATTGATAAAACAGTTGTTTTTCTTGTTAATAATAAGTCTAATATTCATTTGATATTTAGTTTAACTTTCCTACAAATAATCAGTATTTTAGAGTAATTCAAATAATGATAAAATCAACCATTGATAAAAAAAAATAATAATTTAAAAAAATAAAATAAATAAATAAATATCATGATCATTTATTTAGCAATCAAAAAAGTGGATGGAGAAAAATCCAATTCGGAAATCATAGGAGATCCTTAGATAGATAAGATAGCTCAGACTCGCAACGTACAAATTTTCAACATAGCATGACTAATGCGAGTACATAATAACAGCTCTATTGATTTATCTCAATCTATCGGAAAACATTCTCTAGCTTGTCTAATCCTATTTTGATACTGAAAAAAGGCATGAAAGCAATTATATACAGCATTTACACAGGTTGAATTGGATACATGCGCAAATCTGAAGGTACTATTTTATGTAGTAGCTTTGCATTTCTCTTACCACCTTAATAACTAAAATATCTGGCTAAAAATAACTATACTCAAGGCCAACTTTTCTATAGAATTTCTACTTTACTATGGAATTTAAAATAAACTGCTTCCCAAACCCTCGCCAATCATCCCTTTAAAAAAAAAACCTTTAATATCACAAACTGGAATGCAGCCTTGACCTAAGCCAGAATTTTCTATTCATTCTAATTGATCGTTATCAATTCCAATTTATAAATTGCTACCACAACTCATTACCTAAATCCATACATAAATACACAATAAATACAAACCTGCAAGTCTCAGTAGAGTTAACCCATTTTATAAGGAATACAGTTTGTAACAATCCCGGCTTGTTGTTAACACCAACAACAGCAGCTCAGTAGGGAAGCTTTACTGCAAATAAACCTATTTCTCCTCCAGTAGTGAATTTCAGCCAGATTAAACAGGTAAGGCACGAGATCAAATAGCAATAGACATGACTGCTTGTCAACTTATCAACATCTGTATAAGATTACATTAAATACTTCAACACAACAATACTTACAATCAAATCAATGATCCATCATAATATGGCATTGTGTACAAATAGCAAAGAGCAAATCAATGACATTTCGGATAAACACATACAACACCAGATTTCCGGATAAAACGTGATGCTTCGATATTATAACATTCACAAGATTATTTCAAGACACCAGTGGCAACAAGCATTGAGCAATTTAAAAATGGGCGACAGTATTGTAATTGAAACACATTCAGAAAACCAACAATTTAACTGAATGAATTACCAACTTGCTGTTGTATTACAGTATCTGTCACATTAAGCTACACTGCTGAGGCCCAATAACCTAGAAATAGATAACGGCAGCATTCTGTTTAGACAATAACGTATCAATGAAATACTACAAGCTTGCCTAATAGTACTATACAGTAATAAATTTTTTATTTGCGCTATGCATTAAGAACTAAAAATTATGCTAAAGATCACTTGTAACTTAAAAAGTATGTGTGCAGAAAAGTAAAAACTGTGTAAAACTTCAATGGTGGAACATGACACAAAGCCCTAGGCAAAATTTTCTACAAAATTTATAATAAAAATCAACCCATATATTTGATGCACAAACAGATTTCTTGGTCTAATTTTTTTCATGGGAGATATTCTCTGCATACCCGTACACCCTAATTTGGGAGCAAGAGAGGAATTGTACTGTCGTCTTTGCTCAATTTAAAAAAATAAAAGAAAAGCAAACAATAGTTTTTATCTTTGAAGAAAATTGGAGAGTATTTTACAAGGTTGACAATGTGGATGTTTTCTCTTTTTGTATAGTAGGAGACTCAATACCATAAGTATAATTTTTTTTATAAATATATTTTTGTTTTAATTAGTACATGACTTGCAAGTTACATCAATCCCAGAGGGGCCGCAAGGCAAGGCAGCACAAGTTCAAATTAAAATACCATCATGAAATAATTAGTGATGATACAGGAATATAAAAAACGTAATAATATACAAAATGTCAAGTTTGAATAAAAATTTAAAACATTAGAAAAATATTATTACAGTATTTGGAAAGAATTTGCATAGCTATGCACAAGGCTAAAAACTGGCAGTAACCTAGATATGAGGGCCAATAGAAGAAGTCAAGGACGTTATGTGGCAGAAAATGCAGTGGTAGAGGCTCTTGTTACATTTGTAGGTCATATTTCTATCATTATTCACATTAAATAATATCATATATTACTACCATGTAAATCTATTAAATTTAACAATTTCAAAAAAAATAATGAATCACATTTTAGTTCAATAATTTATTAGCTTTCCAAATGAAATTAGAACAAGAAATGTATTCTTTCTCATCATTTACTATCAGACATTTTTATAAAGTTTATAGACTTCACACTACCCACATAAATTTCTGCTAGCAAACTTATGAGTATTAAGGTGAGACCTTTTCCATACCTTGCTTAGCAAACCCGCCGTCTGCAAATAATGTTGATTTCAAATAAAAATTAAATTAAATTTTTGGCCAATTATTTAGTGCACCTGCCGCCAGGAAAAAATGGAAATTTATTTATTTTTTTTTCAACGTCCACCACTGCCTTGAAATCTCCAAAAATAAGATATTTCTTTATAATTATATAAATTTAAAGAATTTAACCATCCCATTACTACACTGTTTACTTTCACCAGTAAAATTTTTATTTTCTCCTCCGTCTTTTGGCAAAACTTTTGAAAAAATAAGTTTGCAAAACTAGGTATAAAGTCTTGCCTAATCATTGAAAAAGTTTCATAAGAAGCATCCAAAATTATAATCAAGTACTATAAAAGAAAAAAAGGTGGTCATTGATTTACTTTTTTAATGAGTAATACTTTTGAACTCGTATACTGAAATATGGCAATTGAAATTACACACTAAAGAAATATTATGCTTCATTTTTTAAAGTCTTGAGAATTTCACTATGTGAATTAATCTCACAAAAAAAATTAATCTATCATCAGGTGTAAGAACAAGTATTTTGTGTTTCCAACGAAGTCTCGTCTACATCATCATTTTCAGTATGCAGATCAGAGTCTTGTCTACACAATAGCGTTAAAAATCTCCAGTATGCAAATCAGATACTCGTCTACGGCATCAAATTCTCATTATGATCATATACACAATCCTGTCAAATTCCGTTTAGTAGGGAGGAGAGCGGCTTGAAAAACATCTATGAATTATGCCTTGAGTCATCGACAACCGACAGGAATTCGTAGTACCGCTTATTATTTGCCCAATTTCCACGATCCAATTGGAGTTTCGCTTATCTCTGTCATTCACTGGGCACTGTTACGAGTGCTACTGCCATTATATACACATTTCCTTTCCTAACTTGGGCCTACTTTTGTTTTTCGATCACTTGCAATGATTCATTCATACTTCGTTTAAAGTGAAAGTAGATAAGTTGATATAATTATTTGGCCTTTTGATCAGCACACAGTTTACAGGACTTACTAAAGACTTTTGTCTTGGATACTGTAGCACTAGTTATAGACATCAACCTTACAATGAGAATGATTCATTATTCATAGTATTCAATTCCTTATTAGGCGCTATAAAAAAACATTATAAGTTTATCCCCCTATCTAGGCTAGAAAAGGTGACGAGGGAAGGAGTTTTTTCTTTTTTCTTTTTTTTTTGCTAAAACAAAATATCACCATTGGCTTGTTTGCTGGTGCATTGGTATTCAAGTAAAACATGATTCAAGTAGTATAAAAAATATCTACTAACTATTTAACAACAAAACTTTCAAAAATATTTTTTTTATAGTACCATAGAAGACATGCGCGCGAGAGTGATAAACTAATAATTTTTTGTTTTTTATTGGGCAGTATCTTGCATGACAAATGGAAAACTATTGTTGACGGAACAGTTTTATTATTTTATTATTTTTATTAAACTATCAGTTTTTATTTCTCAATTAACTGTGTAATATTGCTCTAAACAAAAGTCTTAGGGAGTAAAATTGTTGTGGTAAAATTCTGACACTCACTCACAAGATATGAACGAGATATGGGATTGGAAACGAAAATTTGTTGACAAAAAAGTTGATAATTTATAATTATTTATCATTTTTTGGGATCATAATGGCAATCATTGTCTGTCCATTGCTGTATCTATTTTCTCATGAGCAGGCTTGATGTCAACAATTACAATGTCAAGGAACCTGTTTTTGTTGCGAATTTAGCTCAGTGTGTGGCAAAATTTAAAAAAAAAACAAAACACCAGAATAATGAACAGGTTTTTTCCTCTAAGCATACAAAATGAGCAAGCCAATACAAATTACAGATTATAAATGGTTGATCAATTTATAATGTATATTATAGCCTCAAAAATTACTAATAGTAATCTCTCTTTGTCTTCAGGGAGGATAACCCAAATTGTAATTTTCCCGAAGATCTCATGTAAATTAAAGCAATAAAAACCGATGCATATGATGATGAATCATGTTATTCTCATTTTGATATTGACAAAAACCATACTTGTTCTGAAAAGTAAACGCACTTTTTATGTCAAGATTAATTGAAACAGAGTGCCTGAAACTCTGTATCTATGCAGCGAACTGGAGGCCTTTGGCTAGGCAGGGTAGTCTAGGAGCCTGTGCAAGGAACATTAAAGTGATGAAGGCTTTTTTTTTTGTACAGTACTTCTCCGAAGGTTAGATATGACATTTAAAAAATTGCAATCACAGATTCTCTGTGCAATCAATATCAGGA